TCCCCTTTACACTGCTTGCTGGCTTTGTCCTAATTCTTGATCCCTCCACCTGACCCTGTTGAAGCCTAGTTGTAGTTGACTCATGTCTTTGCACCGTTTATTCTCTCTTACTGTCCTTCATTCAGCTCGTTTCTTGAAGCATTCTGAAAAATGAATCAGTAGCCCCAAGTTTTCTTCTTACTCCATCAAAATCAGCTTTTACCTAACTAGTCTCAGGTACCACTTAGGTTTCTTGTAAAGGTGAATGGTTTCTGTGATTTCCATCTGTATGAATATATCTTGGCTATTCTTTTCTCCTAGACCCCAGTTTTTCCCTTGCTTGTCACAGGTTTTTCCTCCCCCAGGTTCTCCATGTCTCTTCACTATTCTTAACAGAATCCATCTACTTTTGTAGACTTTGCCCTTCTCTAAATCCTAGGAACTGTTTTGTTCCCTTCTTTGCTGAGGTGAACTTGATGCCAAAGACACATGCTCTTCTGTGCTTGCCAAATGTTTTGCTTTCAAACCCTACCTGTGGTTGTGTCTCTTCCTCTTCCTTGTTTGCTTTTAACAGCACCATCCTCAAACTCTGTTTTTAATCCGTGACGTTCTTGGAGTTGTCCTTGCCACAGTTAGAGGCTGTTGCCAGATCTTGTCACTTCAGTTCCCAACCTCTGTAAAATCTGAATTGTAGTCTGGCACATTGAGGGAAGCATGTATTGTTTGTGCTCTTTCACTTCCTTTCTTACAGTCCCTGATAGCCATTATCAGTTGTCAACAAACTCTTAGTGTAGCACAAACAAAACTGATTTGTCTTGGTCAGTCAGGTCGCATCTGTCCTATTACCATTCCCATTCCCCGTACCATTCTATGATTCTCCCATACCGTTCTGTGATTACAAGGGGATTTTTTTCCCTGCATTTCATATAAATGCATTCTTGTCTTCCTGTGTTCAAGAGACTGAGCAGTTGTGCTGTCATCTATTTGTTTCTGCTTCCAGTTTACCTTTTTATGTTAATTAACCTACCTGGTTAATGCCACCTTCTTATGTGTAAAGTCTGCTGTGGCTTCCTTGACTTACCTAGTTTTGTGTCTTCTTCAGTGTCAACTGTCTGTGGTACAGCTTGTTTAGGAACAATCCTGCTAGCTTAGTAACTTTGTGAGTCAGAGTAAGACAAACTCTGAAACTGATTGGAATAAAAAATGGAACAGGAGAAATATTTCATTTTCCGAAGAGTCTCATATAGGATTTTTGGTGAGGTATTGGTAAATATTGATTTACTCTAAATTCTGAGATTACTTTCCTCTGAGACATACTTTTGCTATCAGGAAACACTAAAACATTGCTAGAAGTTCCTTTTTAAAAAATTTCTAGTTTCTCAAACATAGTCCTTAGCTCTAAATGTGTTAAGGTATCAGTTAATGACTTGGTGCAAATTCAGACTCTGAATCCCTCGGTTATTTTGTGTAGTTATCTGTATTCTACTGATTAGGTTCAAGTGAGATCGAGTACTTTTTGTCTTACTGCCAGAAGTGAAGTCCACAGTGGTATGCCATAGAAACTTTATCTGTTACAAGATTGGGATGTCTGTGTTAGGAGGAGAAAACCCTGAAAAACTTCTGTACCATACCCTGATGTGTACCTCACTCGGAATGTCTCTTGTACAGAGGAGTAAGCTGTTGGAAGTGGGAGCTGCGTGTGTTTGGCTGGAAGCAGGGAGTGTCTGTGTGAGTGAAATACAGGAAACAGTTCTGGAAGAACTCTGTTTTTTATTGAATGCAGAGATCTGGAGTGAGGAAGGTTAAGCCTGCTTCCTATAGGCATACAAGGGGCCAGCAACAGGCAGACAGTTAAATAACCAGTGTATCCAGGAGCTCTTTTGAGGCTTCCTTGCTTAACCATGTATGAGCTTTGTTTGGGTTTGTTCCGTTCCCTTCCCTTCCCCTCCCCGCATCCCGCCCCCCCCCCATTCAGAGGTATGTGAAAGTTCTGTATGAAATACAGTTCCATTTTCTTCCTGATATTTTGAGGGTTATTAATCAGTAACCAGAGGAGCTAAGGCATTCTTAACTTCAGTTTATAGATACAGTGTGTCTCAAACATGCTGTAGTTTAAAATATCTTGGAGTTCTAGTAACGAATGGGTTTACAGACCATTTCTGTTCCCTCATTGTTCAGGGAGGTTTATGAAATGAATGAATCACATAGTAATGAAAAGCTAAATCGGTGCATAATTAAGAAAAGCCTGGCCCTCTGGAAGAGGACTCAAAAGGCTCCTTTCAGAGTTTGATGTGTTCACAGAAGCATTGCTCTGCTGGCGCAGTAGTAACCCTTTTGCAGTATATGAAAAAAGTTGGATGGAATGATGAAGAGGCTGGTTTTGAATAAGTGGTACATTGTTTAAATTCTCTTGAAAGAGCCTTGCTTTTCCTTATTAAAAAGATGATTTACTGGTAAAATATTTCATATCCCATTCCTGGTTTTTATTACCACCTTTAGTCAAAGAGTGTCTCAATAACCAATGCAGATGCATAGTTCTACATAGTGCAGACTTGGTTTTGGGCAACTGGGATCTGCTAACAACTCTCGGCAAGCTCAGGCCAGGTAACAGGGCTGTTAGTTTTTCCTCTTTCCTTGGTCTGAGTGAAAGAGCTTTAAACAGTTACTGATGGCAAGACGCTCTGCCAGTGCAGTCTGGATTATCTTGCTTGGGTTACACTGGTGCACACACAAGCCTCGAGGTCCTCTTACCTTCTTACACCCTTATGGAAGTTAGTGGCTCTTGGATGAGCTGGGAGCTGATGCAGGCAACTGCAAAAGGAGGTCTTGTGAAAGGTCGAGGGAAGTTTGGATTGTCTGTCCTGGGAATGTTGTGTACTCTGTAATCTAAATGGGGGCATTTTTCTCCATCTGTCAAAACAGTTGTCTGCCTGTAATGATGGGGCTCCTATTTACTTTCTTTATTGATAATGGTGGTTGAAATTACCTGTATGAGAAATGCTGAAGTTTTTGGTGAAAAATATTTTTGTTTTGAGGAAACTGAGTGTTCAATTTCAATGTTGTATTTCTGTCTCCAATTCATTGTGACTTTGCAATGAGAGTAAACAGGAAAAATATTTTTGGCTGTTCTGTAACCTACCAGAGCAACTGATACTCAGAGAATTCAGAAGTCAAACTTAGACAAAGGTTATTCTGTCTTCTGCCTCTTAAGTTTTCTTTGGTAATTTTGGGGTTCCAAGGTAAGTTGGTACCACAATTATCTTGCATCCTTGTTGACTCTAATATTGCAGATTTCACTGGATGTCCCTAGACTTGAGTGAACTCAGTCAAGTATGTCAGCAGCTCAGCAGCAATAATATAACTGGGTCACCCGGGGAAAGGAGGTGAGGGTGAAGCAACTGTTGAGTATCAATCAATTGTACTGCTGTAGATCGCATCCTCTTTCTGAGAGGCAAATATGACATGTTGAACTAAAGTTTTATTAGAATAATACAGTAATCTGTTATGCTTCCTGGCTCATCAGTGACACTCCTGCGGGTTAAGTAAATAGCCACAAGGGAGAAAAATGTAAATGAGCAGAGAAATATTGAGACTGTTCAGGTGTTTAGCAGGCTGTTCTGTTTTTCAGCACTGTCACAAGTGATCATATCAGAATTTGGATTGCATGTTTTGCTTGATAATGAATATTGTGCTTTTACTGTGACCATTTTAGTGCAAGGATTACAACAGAAGTGTGAATGGAGGTTCCTTTTTGTGTGCAGTCTTGAATGAAAAGTGAATTACCTCAACAACTAGCTAATTCATTGTGAGATAACATCGTTTTCCATAGCTTAGTGCAATACCACAGAGTGAACACATTTCTCCCTGTTAAATGTGATTCAGTAAACGATTTAGTAACCAAATTAATGCTTAATCATGAAGAATAAGTCACTAGAATTAAGTGACAATTTATAAAAAAAAATCTCTAGTAACTACTGCTGTTATGTTCAGGAGGATCTCAGGAGAGGAGAACAAGGCCTTGGGATGCCAGTGACACTGGGAGGCTTCCTGGTATCATCAGCTTATCCAGGGAAGACTTAACAGGGCAGTTCTACTACCTAGTCCCTTCTAGAAGATTTTTACAGACACTGTTCTGTAGATGGAGCTCACTCCTGTGGGATGTTTAGGTCCAGCAGATAGTAAAGGAGTCGCTCTTAAAATCAGAACTCCTGTTGGAGAATTTGCTCTGGTATCTAATCTTTACCCCATTACATACAATCTCAGTCTTTTGGGGCTCTGTGAGGTTTTCATCTTACAAGAAAACTCATGATTCCCTTTTTCCCCATCATTCATCAGATCTTAGCTCCCTGAATGATGTCTTAATTCCAACTATGAATATATCTTAGAGCATGCACTTTGAAAACCAGTACAGTGATGAATACTGCCGCAGGAAAACCAAAACTTACAATCTCCATAGTAGTACTCCTTCTTTGCATGGGGAGATGGTAGTTTGTAATGATCCTTGTAAACTGACTGACTTCTTGATGCATCCATTTTTCTCTTGTTTTAGGTGTTTGGAAATGCTCCTCCAAGTACGATGACAGAAAAATTTTCTGACCTCCTGCAGTTTACTACTCAAGTGTCACGATTGATGGTGACTGAAATTCGACGGAGAGCATCGAATAAGTCCACAGGTATTGCATGGGGCACAAGTCTGGGCTTTGTGAGGTGTGCATCATGAACTGACGTTCAATCAGTCAGAACGCTCTGAGCTGCCATCCACAGCAGCTGTGCAGGCTCAGAAGTCTTCACAGCTGTCTTCCATTTCTTTGGGCTGAGAGAGAGAGGAGGAGGCAGTGACTAGAGTTTTTCTCCCTGGGTTACACAGAAAGCTGAGTTCCACAAACGTGACAGCACATCAAAGAGAGAGGAGTTGCATCACCTCCTAGTAGAAGGAGACCAAGAACATGCATATGGACAGCTGCTGTATTTTGCCTGAGGTGCCTGTTGGTGGTGTGTTTTGTCCCTCAGATATGTTAACATTCCAAAAAGATGCATTTTAAAATTAGGCCTTGGCCTGGAAGCTAATAAGATATAAAAGTACAGTGTGGTGAGTTCCACATTAGGACCACTACCACCAGCCCTAGAAAAATGGGTAGACCTCTCTCTTGCTCTCTTTATTAAGTGTCAGAACGAGATTTGGTTCTGGTGAACCCTGAATATGTCAGAACCTGACCACATATTGGGAGTTGCATAACTTAAGACAGTGTGCCAAGAAGGCATGTTTCATTAGCTTTCCTCTTTGATTTCTTCTTCTGAAGAGGAGTGTTTCTGAGAAGTATCAAGTTTTTGTCTGCTAGATAATTTTAAGATCTGTGCTGTCTTCTCAGTTTGGATTTGGTGGTAAATAAGGAAATAGCGGGCTGGAAAAGGCTGTGCAAATTATTACGCATTAAGTCAGGAGTCACAAACTGTGCCAATTACAATTTCTTTCCATTTTAAGTAGAGTGACTAACAGTGAAACATTCCAGATGGCTAAACAGATATCACAGACAAAACCTGTTCTCTACGGGTAAACAGGCGCAAAATGTCTTTTCTTTGGGTATTTAGGGGAAATAATGTCCAACAGCCATGCTGGCAGAATGGTGGTGTTAGTTTGACCTTTTTTGGGGGGAACATCTGTTATGCCTGCTAGTCAGTTGGATTCTGTTAAGAATGGCCATTTTTGTGTGTTTATTACTTAAGTCACACCTCTCCTCTTTGCTCCGGGATAATCCAGTTGTCATCGTTGAAGCCTCACAAGTCAGGTTGATTTTGTTCATCGTGGTGGTGGTTTTGGAGGGTTTTCTTGTTTTCTACCCCACTTGAAAACTTAACCACAGTGACTTAAAAGACAGTTTGGTACTCTTCTAAGCTTTAATGTAATGAGTACCAATGGTTTTATTAAAATGGAAAACAGTAATTTTTCCTCTGTTATCAAGATTACTTTTACTTGTAAACCCTTTTCAGACCTCACCTAAGAAGGCCTGAGAGGTCTGTGTTCTGCAGTTCCATTGTGACTCTTGGTGGGACCAGGGAGTTGCAGTTTCCTCTGCAGAAATGACCAATTAACAAGCTGGTAAAACTCATAGTTTGCAGACTTTTGTGTTAAACTCTTTAGAGCTAGATACACAGTACCAGCAGTACTGAAAAAAAAAATAATATAAATTCTTGGCTTTTTAGAATACACTTTATGTTAAAGACATAACATTCTGTGTATGGATTGTGAAGGCTCTCTTTTTTTTTCTTTTTTTTTTTTTTTTTTAAACTTCCATTCTTTTGTGTACCAAACAAAAAGATACAGTGTATCTTAATAGCTATTAACAAGTAATTATATCTCCTAGCATGTTTTTAAAAGTGAAAAACTTCGCTAAGGACTATATGCAGGAAACTGCTCTGGTAATATCCAGGTGCAAATTCCTGTTGGTGTGAGTTGCTCTGTTTAAGTCGGCAAAATCGCTGAGCTTGTTTTAGAGAGAAACTTTCCATACAAACATTCTCAAAAGTCAACTTTAGATAGTTAATTAAAGGGAAGAAATTTTACAAGAACTTGCTTTCTGTCTATAAAAAGATCAGTTGGGAATGTGGTATGATTAAATCTTACCTGTTGGTGTGTTGAGGGTTTTTTTGGTTTGTTTCGGTTGGTTGGTTGTTTCATTTGGGGTTGGTTTTGGTTTTTTTTTTTACGTCTCCTCCATCTCTTAATGGAGCACAGGGCAATTTTATTTTATTTTATTTTTTAATCAGGCCTTTGAATGTTTATGCTAATAGCTATGTGAGTAATGCCTGCCATCGTGGAGGCATATCTCAGTTATTCTTGGCAGTCTGTAGTAGTTTTCTCAGAACAGCGTTTTGTGATTCAGTACTAACTGTGCCAGCACCTTATCTTAAGTAGTCTCTGAACATTGCCCTTGTAGTTATGTGTTCGACTACGGTTTCAACTGTCTTGTTCTCTAGTATGGGTGTAACCTTGGAGTAAGAAAAATGAAGCAGTTAAAATGGAGTTAAATTATCTTGTACGTTTAAGTCTTTGCTGTACAACAGTGATAATTTGCAGGTGACAGCAGTAACTGTATGAGGATTAGTGCATGGTTTCCCTTGCCCTGGGGTATCTAGTCTGTCTTAGAAGATGGTGGGGTCATGGTTGATATAACTCTGCATACTTAAAATTTTTAGCTGCCAAATTTTCCACAAATAAATCCAGTTTCATGTCTGAATTGATCAAAACATTGTGGTAGTACTGTGCTAAAATATATGTTCAAACATCTATTTCTAGCATGGTCTCGGTTCTGAAATGAACCTTTCTTTTGGGAATAGATGCGTGTGGCTCAGGGCTGAAAAAGCAAGACTTCTCAAAAAAGCACCCTTGATGCAGCCCAGGATACGGTTATTGACCTTCTGGGCTGCAAGCGCACATTGCCGGCTCATGTTCAGCTTCTCATTGACCACCACTCCCAAGTCCTTCTCTTCAGAGCTGGTCTCAAGCCATTCATCACCCAGCCTGTATTTGTGCCTGGGGCTGCCCCGACCCAGGTAGCCTGGGACCTTTTGGTTTATCATTTCAGTGAGCACCTGTACCTGAGAAAACCCAACTACTGCATAATTTCACATTGCAAACTTAAAGGTAAGCGCATAAAGCTGTCCTGTCCTCCCCAGATCAAACTGTGAACCCGTGTAACCAAACGGTGGGTTCCTGGCTGCGGTCAGTAATGAACAGAAAGCGAAAAACAGGGCAAGTACAGAGTACACTCTTCTCATATTTCGGCAGTTGAGGGTGTGCAAACCTGTGATTTGGTAGCTTGTAGTGGTTATTCCGTGTTTACTTAAATTGGTTTCTAACTCAGTCCTACATTGTCTGCATCTCCAGCACACCAAATGGTATACTGACAGCTCCGGTTATTTAATGCATTAGGAGACATAAACACCTGGTATCACAGGGAGGTTCAGAATTTCCCTTAGTGCTGGGCAGCTCTGCAACCTGGAACGTCCTTCCCCAGTCAGAATATATTCATATATATAACAGTTGTGAGGGCAACCTGTGAAACCTGTGCAGAAGGGTAGAAAACTGAAGAATGAGAAAGCAAAATAGTTTATCACAGGGCTGGAATTTTTTAACCTCCTTTCAAGGTAAATTTCAAAAATTTGGATTGGATGGTTTGTTGTTGTTTTGGTTTGGGTTTTTTTAATGATTTCATGTGTGCTATTCTGTGTACATGACTGGTTTATGCACCTTTTAAATTCATTTCAGTTATGTCTTGCTTTGTTGATTTCAGTCAAAATTTCATTCCGTATTTGCAACATTCTCTGTATGTGTCTCAGTATTTACTATTTTATGCTAAATTTATATTTGCCATACCTCTAGACTGTTCAGCTAAGCCCTTCTACCTTCAGAAACAACACTTTCAGTTTATACCGTCTGAATCTTGTGGTAGTTAGTTTTTTGGGGGTTTGGAGGTTTTTGTTTGGATTTTTGGGCAGGTTTTTTGTGATTTTTTTTTTTCCCCCCCTCTTTCTCTTAATTTCACTGACTTACTAGCAAAAATGTTTTTAGTCTCTTTAGGCATTTCTCTAACCGATCTGCTGAAGAACTATCATTATCTCATCTTCAAACAACTTTGGGAGGCCAAATTGATAAACATTTATCATCATCATGTTTGAACCATTGCAGAAAACCACATCAGTGGCTTGTATTTGGCCTCTGACAATGCCTACCTTTATTCTTTTTAATATTCCATTGATCTGCCAACTCTTTTATTGTTCATTTTTATTGCAGTTTACCTCTATCATGTCAGCAGAACTAATTTTACATTTATCTTAAATACCCAAGAGTTACTGTTACTTGTTCAAGTGCATCTCATATTTTGACTAAGTTACTGATGGTAGTTGAAGGAAGCTTCTTATCTTCTACTGATAAGTAGCCTTTCGGGCTCCACCCGTAATGAAGTCTGAAGCTTTCCTGATAGTGTTACTTGTAGTATCTGCTTCTCTTTGAAGAGTTGAGGATCTTTCTCGCTAAAATAAGTGGACTTGGGGGCTGCTTTCAGACTTTTTTGGTATGTTAGTTAACTTTTCTGTTGAGAAGAGAATGTGTTGGAAGTGATCTCACATGCTGTGACTGCACGTCTTGTTTTTTTTCATTATTTATATGTTTTTTCCTGTCCTGTGTGTGACTTTGCTTTACAAGGTGATTCTGTTTTGAATTTATTCAAATTGCTCTGAAAGGGAAGCAGTGTCCTATCAGCTACTCA